GAAAGCTCGACATTTGTCAGTCATTTCACACTATTATAAAATCTCCAATGGATTCACAATCTTGAATAAATTGAATCATTTGAGAACATTCTTGTTGCTAGGAGGGCTTAATCCCTACTCACCCTTGTCTAACAAAGTTTTGCATAGTTTCTTACCAACTTTAAATCACTTAAGAGTGCTATCTCTTTGCAGTTATCGGATAAGTAAGCTACCTGTAGATTCTTTTGCAAATTTAAAACATATTCGGTACATTAATTTGTCTGGTACAAAAATCAAATGTATACCTGAATCAGTGGGTTTTCTTCTCTTCTTACAAACATTGCTATTACATGGCTGTCATAAGCTTACTAAGTTGCCTGCAACAATTGGGAATCTAATTGATCTTCATCATCTTGATATCATAGATACAGAATCTTTAGAAGAGATGCCATCAGAAATATGTAATCTTAAAAACCTTGTGACATTGTCCAAAGTGATTGTGGGGAAGACAAGTGGATTGATGAGATTATCTGATTTGAAAAACTTTTCACAACTTCGAGGAAGACTGTCTCTTCTAGATTTGCAGAATGTTTTGGATGTTCAAGATGCTAGGGAGGCCAACCTAGATAAGATCCATGGTCTGGAAGAGTTACTCTTGAAGTGGACTAGTTCTGATAATGATCGAAATGATTTAGTCCTTGAAATGCAGGTTCTCCATTGGTTAAAACCTCATTCAAATTTAAAAAGTTTGAAAATTTTTTGCTATGGTGACAAGAATTTCCCAAATTGGGTTAGTGATCCATTATTATTTTTCAATTTATCATCCATGGTGCTCAGCAATTGTAAGAGATGCACTTTGTTGCCTTCACTTGGCATATTACCTCTTCTCAAAGACTTGATTATCGAAGGCATGGAGGCAATAGAAGCTATAGGTTTTGAGTTTTATGGGGGGCATGGCTCTTTTCCATCACTGGCTGAACTAGTGTTTAAAAACATGTTAAATTGGAAGGAATGGACTTCTCCAGCAAGAAGTGTAGGTGAATTCCCTTGTCTTCATAAGCTTGTGATTGACAATTGTCCTCAGTTGTTAGGACAATTACCTATCAACCTTTCTTCAGTTAAAGAGTTGGATGTTAGAAGGTGCAATGTGATGCTTTTAAAGAGTATGGGTGATCTCACCTTGCTTTCTAATTTGAGAGTTGAGAAAATTTTAGAACTAACTTACTTGCCAAAGAGTTTTACACAATCCTTGACAACACTTGAAACTCTGTATATTGGACATTGCAATGATCTTGCCTATTTGTGGGAGGAAGGGACAGAAATAGAACAAAGCCTCTTGCCTTTCAATCTTAAACATCTTAGCCTTAAGCACTGTGGAGCTTTGGTGTCATTACCCAATGCAATGATGATGAGGATGGATGGAAGCAATAGCAGCGACACTAGTATGTTGATGTTGAGACTCGAAAAGCTGGAAATTTCTGGTTGTCATTCTCTCAACTCTTTCCCAAGAGGCAAGTTACCTAGCATGCTTACATACTTGAAAATAGAAGACTGTGAGTGTCTTAAGTCCCTACCAAAGGCCAATGGTGACGATAATAGCAATCTACATTTGGAAATAAAGAATCTTCCATGTCTGTATTCTTCTCAGGATTCTCATCAGCTACCAGCTTATCTCAAGAAATTTACAGTTGATGATGGTGGCGAGTGGTTGGAATCATTTCCAGAGAGGATATTGCAGCATTGTACGAGGCTTCAATCCATTGAAATTGGCAATTGCAAAATATTGAAAAGTTTACCTACCCTTGATTGCGTAAGCCATCTCCTTCGATTATTTATTTACAGGTGTGAAGTTTTAGAGTCCTTACCAGAAGAGTTGGGGTCATGCACCCCCAATCTTAAGGATTTGTCAATAGAATGGTGTGAGAATTTCAAATCCCTACCAAGTACGATGTACCAGCTGAAATCTCTTCAAAGCTTATTGATGTTTGGTTGCCCCGGCATCGAGTTCATTCTAGATGGGGGTTTGCCCCCAAACTTAACAGAGCTTCACTTAGAGAAGTGTGTGAATCTCAAGTATGTGCCAAATACGATGTACCAACTCACATCGCTTCAGAGTTTAAGAATCTCAGGTGGGGCTTTGACGATGGGCCTCCAAAACCTTACATCTCTTCAGTGGTTAAAAATTGAGCAGAAATTCCCTCTGGATATTGCACTGCCTTCTTCTTTAACCTCTCTTTGGATCATTGATGAAGAAAATTTGAAATCCATACCTGGTGGGCTCTTCCAAAACCTAAGCTCCTTTGAAATGTTATGGATCTCTAACTGCCAAAATCTACGATCTTTGCCAAGGGAAGTCTTTCATCCCTCACTTGTTGGTATAAACATCTTCGAATGTCCGCATCTGAAACGACAGCGTTTTGAAGCCAAAGGAGATTATTGGGCTCTCACTCAGAGCATCGCCCGCGTTGAGATAGATGGGGAAGAGGTAATAAAAGCTAATGTGAACTGAAACGGACATCACCATTTTATGCTCTTCATATGAGAATTTAGAAAAATCTTTAATACTCAGTATATATAGATAACACTTTTCTTTGATTTGTGCTGCCTTTTCTTATATATATGCGCTACAAATCCATTTTACGCAGGTTGATGACTACAAGAGCTAGCTAACAACTAATTGTTGAGGTAAATAAAGCCAAGCCACTCCTCAATGTTACTAGTACTTCATTCATCCCCTGGATTTCTTTTTATTTATAAGGATGATGAACTGCCATGTAAATTGCCCAAAACTTTGTTGAATTAAGCAAGCTTGCACTTCTCACTTGTTTCTTGATAAATTCCTTGGATTTGTTAGCGGTATATATATTATTTATTATCCACCTTAAAATTATTTTTCTCTAAAAACATGCATTCAGTTGCCTCTAAAATGGTTTACACTTTCAGATTATTTCAAAGGGGATGAGTGTTTGGCCTTGGCCTTGGCATTACGGAAATTCACAACCACCAATAAGCTTGCAAAAAGATGCTCTTAGGCAAGCCAACCAATTTCAAGTTTAAATTCTCAATTGTATTAGTCCCTTCCTTCTTGCCTGTTACATGTCATACAGACTGCCCCTTTTTCGAATGAGATTTTTCTGTAAGTTGGAATTGGAACACAGATGACCTTTTCTAAATTAAGCAAGCTTGTAATCTGAGCAAGTTGAGCTGCAGGGAAAGTAGAACTTACCTTGTAAGTATTCAAATTACCTCTTTAAAAGCGTTGCTATATATTGTTATTCTTTAGGACAAGAAATCAAAACTGATATGTCAGGTTATCTCTATTGTTCATTTTACTTCAACAAAATGATACATTTTGATGATAGACTGGTCTATTCCTCTGCCATCTATGATGTTGATTGCCTTAGAATTAAATGATTATTTCCCATTGCTTCCTTCTCTTGATTAATATATGTTGGTTGCATTAAAGACTGTCTAATTTCTATCATTTATTCTGCAATTTAAAAAAAAAATTTCAGATCCTATAGATTTCTACAGCTTTGTGTTATTATTTTACTTTGATTTCATTTCAGCAATTCACTTATCCATCTTTCCTTTTTATGTTACTGTTGATGCTTTATGTCTTCTTCAATAACAAGTTATACTATATTACCATGTATGCTTGGCATTCTTTTTCACCATCCAAACTCTAAATGAATTATTTTCTCCATCTAATTTCAGTCTACCCTTTGATTTTTCTAATTTTCTGATAGATTTTTGGATGAAGAAGATTTAAGAACAAGAACTTAGCAAAAGACTTTGATGAAAAAACACAGGTCTGGATTTTC